CAAAAGCAAGAACGACGATATTAGATTACTTATTATGAGTACGAACACAATAAGAAAAAAAATTGTGAGCAATACTATGAATCAACTTAAGGAATAAATGGTAGAAAATTATGAGCAAATAAGTAAATCTGACAATATAAATTCGCTTGAAAAAAATCTTCAATCACAATAAAGCAATCAAGCAAGAAAGGTACAATTGTACAATGTTGTAAGTATATTGAAGGTTGCATGTATGTATGGTATTGTTTCTTATTAAGAGAATGAATGGAACTACTTATTATACATCGTGATTTCAAGGCAAATGGCCGCGTGCACAAATGATTGAAAGAATGAATAAACGATTATGGACATGAGCTTCAATCATTTCGGTTTTCTTTCAAATAAATAAAAGGAAAAAAAATATTGTTAAAATGATTCAGTTTATGTCATGTTGTATCTTAATTCGTTTCTCATAGTACCCGACAAAACTATTGCTTTCGATGATATGGTGATAATTTTTTTCTTTGCTTACTTGACTGTAACTCGCGTTGATATATTTACTTTCACCCATTTACACAAGGACAAAAGAATACAGAATGCAAATGGACAGAAGAAAAAAAAACTGCAAAGCAAAGAAAACAAAAATATGTTGATGGGTTAATTACTACTGAAGATTTTTGTTTCGATAATAATGACAAACCAAAATATATAAAGAAAAGGAAAACCTATTGTGAATATTATTATTAACGCATATATATATATATATATAAAGAAATTAAACAGGAAGCATTTACCTGTCTTAGTATGAGTTCAAATCAGAAATAAATTAGCATTTATTTTATAAGTAATAAAATTCTATTGACCTTTCTTCTTTCTTATTGCAATATTGCGAAACCTTAATGTACACACAGTATGACGATACAATGCGAAGCCAAACAACAAGAGCCTATATTAGCAATAAGTGTAAAATATTGTTGATGTTGCTGTATTATATGCATTTATTGCAAGAATAACAATATCAAGAAGGCTAAAGGTTCTGTTAACATGATCAAGACATTAATCGTCATAAATGAGTAATACTAATACTTTTATGAAGATAAAGAAAAAAAAAATTTCGGATTTTCCAAAAGTTACATGATATAAAGGTCAAATGCAAGTATATATATACATATAAATGCACGTACTCAGACAATAAATCTCCTCCTTTCTATAACTAATAAGCGACAACTATATGATGGATATATAGAATCATCTATCTCTTCAATATTTCGACTATGCTATCATGATCAATCATGTATGATATTGGACAACGACAACATGACATAGCTTTGTCTTCATCATGAACTGACTCTTTTTTTTCTTTTTGAAAGATGATACAAGTATAGTACATATACATATATATATATACATAACGGTGTGTATTGTTGACAAGTAAGGACAAGATGGACGCACATACAGACAGATAGAGACTATCGTTTATCTCATATCGATTCTAGATGAATGTCAAGAAATCGATATAGAAAAATGATGATAGTAGTCAATTAATCTAATACGAGATTACAGTAAAACAAGTTGTTCTTTATTGTCTATCAATAAGCACACATAAGATTAATTGTAAGACAAAAAAAAATGTAAAAACGAACCGATGGCATTCACAAATATATATGATACTTAAAAGACATTCAATCACTTTTTTTACATTTCTGATTTTAACAATACACGAATTTACATTTACATCAATTGCAACAACTATATATTTTCACTGAATATATGCATATATCATCCTATTATAAACAAAAGAACTTGTATAATATATTAAATCTATTAGAAGATTTCAATGTTCACGTTAATTTTAATAGTCCTCACACGTCCTATTCATTAACTGCACATAAACATATACAACTATATGAATGCCCTTGTGTTATTATGAAAAAAAAGAAGTGTGCATGTGTATATATATATTTGATGCTGTCTCACTCTTAGTTTTTTTTTTTTTATTCCCTGCTTCTCATTGTTAATCGATCTAGTACGTGACTAAAAAAATAAAAGTGATTGCATCAACACACGTCATATATTCATATATCGTCAAAAGTACCAGTCACAGATCATAATATTTGTTTGAGCACATAACACATACTTACATACGAGATATTGATCGTTATCGAGTCCGATTTCGCTCGAGCTACATTTACCATACACAAAAACTATTGCTATCAACATAAACAACAACACTGCTGTGTTGTTATTGTTACGAATATCTTTTATCCTCCTCTTTCTTTTTTTTTTCTTTCTAAGTATTTGTTGTAATATAATCTGTACAGCGTCTGTTTGCTTGTCCTTCTCTCACTCTAAGCTTATTGATACGCATTAAGTCGTGCGCACATGCATATTCGTATATACGCACCAGTAAAAAAAAAATCAACTAACTACTAATACTATTGTAGTTTATGGACAGAACATAACTATGCGGTAGATAAAATATTATATTATAGTTGTCCATTAGATAATATCACTTTCACAGGAAATTCTTATTGCCGTTATCATATTTGACAATGATGATAATGGCGAAGAAATAAGAAATAAAAAGAAGAAAACCTGTTATCATCCATGCTAAGAATATATAAAAGCAACAAATAATTATTTAAAAAAAAACCATTAACAGAGCATGAATCAAATAAAGATACAATATTCAAAATGCAAAACAATAAAGAATTATTATTTCCGTTCAATTAACAACTTGATTCGAATGATAATGAGATATTAGGATTAAATAATACTAATTGTATTTATTATTAAATCTCTACGAATAAGGGTATTATATATTTTACCTGTATCGCTCTCTCTCTCTCTCCCCCTCTTCGGGAAACACATATCTTTAAATGATAAAAGAGCAAACAATAGTTATTTTTTTCTTCTTTTGTAATCATTATTGCTGTATACATTAGGCAAAAGAGCAATAATGTCAGTAAGAGGGTGCAAGCGACATGAATAATGGTATAAAAACAATAGTAGCTAATTACCTATTATCATCGGCTCGAGAATTATGACGGCAACGGCTGTTGTTGTTGTCAACTGCGTGTAAAAACGATCGCACAGACGAGTGAAAGTGACGAAGAGAAAAGCCGTGGTACAGTGTCTACTATAATCGCAGAGGTTATTTCTTTCATAGCTTTTTATACTATGCACAGAAAGAGAGCATGATGATGATTGTTGTCATTCGACCAAGAGAGAGAGAGAGAGAGAAAGGAAGAAAAGAAGTATTAGAAGAGGAAGAAGGGGGAGAGAGAGAGAGCACATCATTTGACGATCGATATGGCATCATTGTCTTACCTCAAAATCAGACAAGACTCTAATCCCATTTGTATATGTATACTTGTCAATTGACTTGACTTAGCAAAGACATAAACTTTGATTATTGTTACTGTTTTTGTCCATCTCACTCCGCACTCTATGTTTCACATTCATCCTTGATTACATCTCATGCTCTGTAACTATTAGGAAAAAGGAGTACTATCACAGCTGTTACTTTCACTCTTTCCTTCGTTTTTTTTTCTTCTTCTCAAATTGACAGTTGTCACGTCATAGAGACACAGAAAAAAAATCGAGAGAAAAGAAGATTCTGTCAAATCTTTATCCATATGTGTTCCATAAAAAAAAAAAGAAGAAAGATCGAACTATAGTGTTTACTTAATGTGGCGACTGATAAACATTTTCTTCTATACACAATCATCTTTTGTCAGATAAGAACTAAGCTCTCAATTGCAATGCCAACGAAGAACGAGAGAGAGAGAGCAAGTGTTGCTCTCATTATCCATCCTATCGATTACAGATCTTCTTTAAGGCATATTTCAGTCTGCCTTATCCTTCATGCCATCGTGAATTCTTCTTTTTTTCTTTTCTCGTCTCATTATCTCATTGTACAGCAAAAGAAAAAAGAGAGTAGTGCGTATAACCTTGAGGCTAAATACACACTACCATCACTACTGTGCATAATATTCTATGCTGTTTGCAATTTTCCTGGCGGCACTGGTGCTTGTGCAATCCGATCTTTCGAAAATCAATCTTTATCTTTTAGAGTTAGAACATATGAATTGCTTATTTATGTCTACAAAAGCATCTATAAGAATACCAAAAAGAAAAAAAAAAAAAAAAGAAAAGTACCTGACGTTGTCATCAATTTGCTTCTCTTGTTCTTCCTATGAACAAATAAGCACATCAATCGAGAAAGAAAAATATTATATTACATCTTGGTGTGCTTCCATAATTGTTGTCATGTCGCATATTTCGATGTGAGATCAATAGGACAAATGATCTATATCCTTCAAAGATGAAAAAGAAATATTATAATGTTATTTTAACGTATAAGATAAATGAATAGAATGAAGACTAGAACACATCTGTGTATTTATAATCTTAATATGAATAAAAGAATTTAACAACAATCTTAGATTCATTTCTGAACAGTTGCGCATACATATATATATATATATACATCTGTATCAGACTTTCTTTTCTGTCTAACAGTTGTATACTAATTTGTGTCACTCAAATTCTCACGTACACAATGACAATCCATTCAACCTTTTGACTACAAATACATAGCCGTCATTCGATATATCTGTATACACTCATTAGCTATCTGTCAATGAGTGACATAATGGCAAAGAGAAAGTCAGATAGGAAAAAAAGTGTTGTTCTTATCACGAGACACTTTTTTGCACGATGGTCGGCGAATGGAACAAAGGCGATCGCGTTTCTACTCTCAATTAGATCTGTATATATGAGATCTAATCTGTATACCCCAAGTGGATGAGAAAAAAAAAAAGAAGAAAGATAAAACAATAACAACAACACTAAGCACAAACAACAAGAGAGATTCTATATCTTGTATTGCCTAAAAATAATTTCGCTTATGAAGATATTACAACATAACATAACTATTGGGTTTTTTAGTTGTCGAAAATATCCAAAGATTTTTTTATTAATAAAAAAAAAGAAAAAAAAGAATTAATAAGAAATAATTAACTTGAAATTTTTGGTGTTGAAATAGCTGTTAATGTTTCTCGTCGTTGTGAACGAAGTGACTTGTTCGGTAGATATCGATGAGTTAATTTTTTTTGTGAACGTTTTGTTTGTGATTCATTTTCAAATACAGGTACAACAACAATAGGATTTGTATTTGTTTGTTCAAGTTTAAATTTTATTTCTCGTGTCGTTTGTTGTGTAGTACAAGGACGTAAATCCGTCGTTGATCGCTGTGTACGCAAATTAAGTCTCGAACGACTTTGTTCACGTGTATTTAATAATGATGATAATTGTGTAAAACGTTTATATTGACGATATTCATTACCTGGTGCACAATTACCAAGACATGCTAAGCGTTTACATTCATTACAACGTAATTCACGTTTTAGTTCATTTATATCTCGAATATCTTTTTCGTTAGTAGTTTTTGATGAAAATATTCCATTGGAATTTAATATATTATTATCAAATGTACCACTTTTTATAAGACGATTATATATAATTAAATTTTGACGACGACGTTGTTCCCATTTGATTGTATTTGCTTGTAATCTTGAAAATAATAACAATTGAAAAAAGAAATGATATGATATGAAAACCGTTTACAGACACAGTTCGTTTTGGTTATAAATCGATGTCTGTCAGCCTAATATTTCAGAACGTTTTCAATTGATCAATCACTTTTAAATTCGAATTCTGTGTCTAAAATAGACTTTAGTGCAATATGAAAAGGCTCAAAAGAGTAAATCTTCTGAAGCCTTCTATACAGAATTATAGGCGTTTTATTTGAATTTTAGCCTCTGACTTGGTATATACCAACAAACTGAATGACAGTATATCGATCTGAGATTTTGCCTACAAACAGGTCTATTTTCTAGTAAAGTACTCTGGAAATTTCCGTTCCAAAAAATCAGTCACATTAAATGAAAGGTGCTAGAATTTTCTGTTATTTTTGCGATTTTATTATTTCAGGAAGGGAATATTCTTTGAAGCTGAAATTTTCAGAGCATTCTACTGACAAATAGATCTGCCTATTGGCAAAATCTCAGATCGATATACTGCCATTTGATCTGTTGGTATATATATCAAGTCAGTCTATATTTCCAGTAAACTATTTATAACTCTGCAAAGAAAACATAAGGAGATTTATTCTTTTGAAGTTTTTCATATCTCACTCACTAGGATCTACTATATGCATACAGTTCGAATTCAAAAGTAACTGATCAGTTGAAAATGTTCTCTCGTTAGATTAATAATGTATGAATAACTTGAACTGAAAAATTCTACAGAAAAAAAATGGTTGGAATTTAGGCACGGATATAATATCTAACGAAGGAAGTCCTTCAACTAATAGATCACTTTTCAGTCAACACTATGTGCATTATATAGGCCGAAATGGGTTATGAGTACCCGAAAAAAAAAGTGTTTTTGGCTTATTGCTACGGAGATACTGTAATTTTGCGATATTTGCTCAATTGAATGCCGTTATCCTTCTGAGGAACATCAGAAAAATTGATTTTCGAATTTCGGCTTGAAACTTTTTCATCATAGAGACAGACTTTAAAAAGAATAGTTTATTTTAAAAATTTAAGATCTTTTGATTTGCTTCAATCTTGAAATAAGAGCATCAAATCTGCTGATTTATATGATTAATGTAAAAGACGCACTATTACTACTAAAGTTTGTATCTTAGGATAAGAATGATGATAACAAGATCTGAAACTTTCACAATAAAATATTTTCTGAAATTGTGAAACTTGACATACAAAACACAACAGAACATAAGACAGATTTTCTTGTGAAGTTTGAACTTAAAAGAAACTTTTAACTTGAGTGGATATTATGTTTTTAATGGAGTGAGAGAATTGAAAGCATACTATTGTTAATTTTATGAAATTATTCTTCTATTCAGAGCTACTCATTTTTTATCGTATTACCTAGCTAATTTAAGACATTTTTCAAAAATCGGTTTAGCATTTGTTTCTGGTTCGAATGATGTTTTAACATCACGATAAAAATCTTTTAAATTCCATTCATTAATACTATTATTTGTTTGATAATGTGCATGTAAATAAATAGCTTGATCATATTCTTCAGAAAATGGACGTTTATATTTATAAGTTGTTGTTGATGAATTCAATAAGGATTGATCAATATCTTTTAAAATTTGTTCTTCATCTTCTTTTTCCTTGGATTTTTCCGATAATTCTAATTGTCTACTTTTTGAACGACGTTGCCAACTACCTAAATTTGCAATATGTTGAAAACCATTTATCTAAAATAAAATAAAATAATATAAAAACAAAAAAAAAGATATAACTTATTATTTACTTTTTGTTGATTATTACGATAAAGTATTTGCGGTTCATCATCATTATTTACTGTTGTTGTACCATGTGAATTGGTATCAGCAGGTAAATCAAGAAAACTATTCTGACTATTTGTATTTATAGTTTCATTAATATGAACATTTGTATTTATATGAGAAGGTTGTTGCATAAAATGATTGTCACTTTTGAATGTTGTCGATTTTAATTGATAGTATAATGAATTTCTTGTATTATTATAATCGTCTGATGAATCTACTAAACGTGCATTTCGTAATGGTGTTGGCGAACGAGATGACATAGTAATTTTTATGTTTTCAGATGGTGTTGGATAAATATTTTTTTCAAGTATAAGTGGAGCTGTTGTTGATCTATCAGATTCCGTTGGAATTGAATTAGATAATTGATTTCTAATAGAATACAATCAAAATATATACATATATTTGTAAAATTTTCTTACCCTATTGGTGTAGATTGAGCTAATCGATATACATTACTATATGCTTGATGACGAGTAAAGGTGGATAACTTTTCACTATTTTCATTTGATATTTTTTTATTATAATCTGTTATTGAACTTCTGTGTAACTATATAAGAAAAAAAAAAAAATTTCTTTCTTATAAATCTATTTCAACGAGTCGTTAACATAGAATAAGAACCTTAGTAGACTAATCGGAATTGTTATGTTTCTATTTTGTGATAGAAATAGTTTTATAATAAAAGCAATTTTTTTTTCTATGACGTTTTTTGCATTTATAAGCGTCTAAATTCTAACTATAAAGGACACAACATGTCTGAAAATCAAATACAAATCAATTTAGAAGAGAAAAAGTTTGCAGTATATTTGTATTTCTTTCAGAGTAGACATGATTCTGTATCAGTTTGAATATAGTCTTTTATTGAACTATTAATTAGGAATAAATATCTAAACAGACAATATATAATATTTGTTTTCTAGTAATTTTATGTTTACTTTCTACTGATTCTATGATTGAACTAAATTTCTTTTTAGACGAAAAATATACAACTGTTTAAAAAAAAAAGAAAGCACTTGCGCAAAAATAGAAAATTTTCTTTCTAATGTTTTCATGTTGAATGAAACAATTATAGATTTTACTTTGTCGGTGGTCGTTCGTCGTCAGGTAGACAAACAAATGACTTAATGAACATGCGGTTGCATTTGTTTTGGGTATAATACAATTAAGATGTATGTTAGCGTGCAATTTGGGATCCGACGTTGGGTGGATATTATTTCAGATCATTCTCGGATCGATCGGTTACAATATGTTCGATCTAAGATTTGCCTGACAATTTTAGATAAGAGTGTGAATGTAGTTATTCTTTTTGCCTCACTCCCACATGCACACTTATGATATAGATTTTTTTTTTTTCATTTGTTCTAAATTTGTTTTAGCATGAATGGCAATTTAATTTCCTCCATAGTTTTCTATTCCGATTTTTTTATTCAATACATTCTTTGGACTAAATCAACACTTTTATATAGGATGTAATCAACTTAGTCTTGAATATCGAGATTGGCCTAGGACAATGTGATATTCAACTAAAATTTTCAGGCGAATCTTGGGTTGAATTTTAACACCAAAATTTTTTTCGATTTATGGTTTGTCATGGTTACTGTAACTTCGAGGTGTTCTCTGTCAAATGCTATATAAATGAGAACTCTTCGTTATTAGTTAGTACTTTTATTAAATCGAAATCTCTCACAAAAAAACTCGTACTGTGAGCGTTCTTTGTGTGAAATATTCTCCTAATGATAGTGATTATTTTTCATTCTAATAGTGCTGAGAAATTAAATCATAGAGTTTATTTTATGTTTTTCTAAAAATCAATTTTTGAACACAAAAACACCGGGCTCTCCTCCATTATTTTCTTCGACATGGCACATCCAATCGAACTCAAATTTTTTTTCTGAATACTTTGGTCAGAGTGTGGTCGATATATTTTTTTTTCTTCAAAATACTGTTCGTACGAACTTAGGTAGTCTATAGAAATCAATAGCATTGAAAAAAAGCACGTTTTTTGACGGTGCTTCGAATGTCTTGCTTACGCTAATCTTTAGAAGCGATGTTTTTGAAAGAAATAACGAAACATATCTCGATCCAATCGTAGTTATTATTGAAAAGTAGCAACTCGAAAAACATGAAATATAGAGCTTTTCGAGGAGGAAGGACTTGTGGCTATTTCTGGTCTTTTCAACCTTCATATCTTCCTGAAGGAAGCATCTGAGAATTTTTGAGTTTATGACAACTCTTGATAGAATCACATTAAGATAAATGTGATATTTTCATTTTAAATTATTGAAGCGAAGCTATGAAATTATTTAGTGTTGTGTAATGTGAAACAAAGATATCCATGAGAGCTATATCAAGAAAATAAAATCAAAAAACAAAAGTTTCGTTACATAATGCAGGAGAATTAGTCAATGATACGCTCTTAGTATCAAAGACAAAAAGAAAATTATTAATCAATATATTTATAGTAATATTCAGATGTAACTTATAGAAATAAATGAAAAAATATTCGTTTTTGCTATGTCTTTCAAAAGTGAATGAATAAAATTTTAACCTATAGTATTCTTTGTTTTTTTTTTATTTGAGTGATGAAATAATTCAAATAGACAAGCATAGAAAGAAATATTCGTAATGTTAAATATACAAATTTCTTATAACTATTGAAAAATTTGCTTCATGCAGTTTTAGATTTCCAATGTAAAAGTTTGGATTTGTATATGAATATATGTCACAGACAAAATAAAATTATAGATAAAAATAAATTTAGACGAATTTTATTTTTAATTAGGTACAAAATTATAAAATATATTTCATTTCAATTCAGAGAACATAACACGTACTGATTGTTTTTAAATAGAGAGAGTATTCATTTACATTATTCATATTTTTATTTATATACAAATGATTTCTTCTACGTCGGCATTAGAAAATAATGTTGGAAAATATTTTTTTGAGCAAGTAAATTAATATATTTATTTTCTGAGCATCAGATTTTGAGAAACCACAATTTATTATTCTACCACAAGGAATACGTTAGATAAAAATTCGTTCATTGTTTTTCTCGTTGGAATCATAGACGATGAAGTTCTTAGGCTTACGAAGACTGAAATTAGTCTGTATTTTCTTCAGAGGAAAAAAGTGAAAATTCGAACGCCTTCGGTAACAATCATTATCATAATTTTTGAAACAAACCTACAGTTATGTTAAATAATAGCACATAGAGTGAGTATACGAACAAAATTCAGAAATTCATTTTTTTTGTGTATGATTTCACAAAATATTATGAATTTTGGCAAAATCGCAGCGCTGGATGGGTTAAGAAATCTTGCTGAAAGTCTTTTCGTACATATATCGCTATTGAATCATATCCCGTTTATTGTACAGCAAAAAAAACTTTACCAAACAGCTTTTAGCTTTTTTCAGATAGATTATGCTGATCGATACTCTAGTATAAAGATTCTATTTGTCATAAAATGAAGTAAAAAGTGTTAAAAATATTTCTAAGTTAGCAGTGAATCTAGAATTTTGGAATGGAAGTGGACGACTATAGACAGAACTCGCATTCTGGACTCATCCAAAGTAGTGTAAACTCGTTTTTGCTTGAAAAAATTTCTTGAAGACGGAAGATTATTTCTTTTCCTAAATCTACAACTGTCCTAAATGTTTCTTATTAAGAACTAAAGAATTGAAAAAGTAAACAGCTATCCTTTTCTTCGGTCTGTCGTCAATATTTAAAATTTTTTTTCAAGCCTCCTCTAAATTGCCTTTGCTATGTCGCCTATAGTTGAAACCTAACTCAATAAAACTTAACAAAATTATATATTCATAACTTTAATATTATCGATGAGTCAGATCAAATTCGAAGCTTGCTAAGACAAACTAAACTTCAATTAAAATTAATCATAATAAAATATATGAAATCAGTTCTTTATTTTCATGTTTTTTTGTTTTGTTTGAGAGTAAATCTGTTTCATTTTTTAAAGTTTATTCAAATAAAATGAATAATTCTATTCGACTGTTTAGAATAATCATTGATATGTAATTTTTCATATTGTCAAAACCTTTTATATCTGTCTGTGACTTTTTCAATTTCAATAATCTTTTTTTTTCTTCTTTTTCAATCATTTAGTACTCAATGGGAAGTTAATATTTTCATGTCTCGAAAAATTCATTCGATCAAAAAAAAAATTTTTTTATTAATGTTATATTCATGTTAAATATTTTGTACTCAAGAATTTTGTAAACTAATTCATTATTTCTTCTCTATCTATTGATAATAAACATAAAATAATAATCAAGACTTACAGTTGTCATAGAATCTTTATTTCCTGTTTTTTGTTGGTGTTCCGTCGTTGATTTCTAAAAATAAGAGGAAGAATAACAAAAAAATAATTCTGTATGAGAACGATAAAAAAAATCAACAGTACATCTTACAAGCTATACCTACATTATCCGAATAGTCTCGCCAAAAAAATGTAGATTGAACTCGAACATTGTCCTTGAACTGAAGATTCATTATTAACTAATACAACATATTTTTGTTGTTTGCCAATATAGAAAATAAATGCAATTTCTATGACTATCGACTATCCTTTTTTGTCCCTTTTCAATTATTCTATGCTCGATGGCAGACTATTTGTTCTGTTACATAAACAAGATAGCTTCTTCAGGCAAAAAAATGTTTTTATTACATTTGCTTTTGCTTTTTCTCTTCTTTTCATTAAAACACGTGTATGTTTTGTTAGATGGCATAGGTGACCTCGTTGTTAATCAAATCAATGAAAATGCTCACTTTTTCTTTTTTACAAATACACAGACACTTCGAACACAGAAAAACAACACTTGTGATGAAATAACTATTTTTTGTTAAAAAATAAATTTTAACTAACCATATCTAATGATGGTATTCTAGATAGAAAAAATAATGTTTGATTACGTGAATAACTAACATTTGGTTTTGCTGGGCGAGATATATTTGGAAACTTTTCATTATATTGATTACTAGAAAGTGAAAAGTCTTCATGAATTGATAAATGAAAATGTTGATAATGTTTTATATAATCTTGACGGTTATGTTGAAATTGTTTAATATATAGCATCTGTGTTGTTCGATTGTTCTCGCTATACAACTGTCGTATTAAAAATTCCTTCTATATTTTTGTGCTTTTACTTAACAAAATAATAACAATAATAGAAATGCTTCTAGTAAATTAGCATACAAATTTCTCTCTTCTTTAATTTTCTGAAAATGTTTTCTGCAACAATAATTTTTTTTTCTAGAAACACTTTCACTTACTGAATTCAATTATTATTGATGCTGTGATATTTAATATAAAACAAAATGAACAGAGAGACAATGATCATTGTAATGGAAGATAATTAATTCTTAGAAAAGGCAAAATATTCAATTCATATTGTTTTATAGAAATACATTTTATATATTAAGACAAGGTTCGCCAATCCACCATCCAAGCCGCTTGCAGTTAAATTTTTTAAAAATTTTATTAGCTGCGATGAAAAATCATATCATGAAACTTATGGATCCAAAATATTAGGTTTTTCCGACGTACTTGATAAAAAATAGTTTTTTCCACATTGTGATGATTTTTTTTTCTGTCTCTGATTGTTGGTTTGAGTCAGGTAAGATCTCAAAAAATGTCTAAAAGAATTCTCTACAAAAATGGACTATATCAATCTTTATTATGATAAATTTTAGTAATCGATCGTGCTTCAATAAGAGAAGAAGAAAGATATGTATGATTGATAATGGTTCTTTTGCTAGTAATTTGCTTCTAATCTTGTCGGGTCGTGTGATCCCAAAAAAACAGAGTTCAGACCATGAAAGCATTTGAAATTTTGCATCTTTTGCAATATTTCTGACAAGTTACACAATCGTACAAAGCTGTTAAAATGGTATTCGTATTTAGTAGTTTTTAATAGCATAGCTTAATATGAGAGCATAATAAATAGAATATTTGAAGTCAGCAAAAAAGCATATATTGAATCAAATATATACTAACAGAATTTATTTTTCAAGGAAAACTCGCCTGTACTCCACCACGACATATTTTTACGAAAACTTTGGCAGTGATATCCCCTCAAGGTTGGTTTTTCGTAAAGATATATTTTATTAAAATATATCCGATCTGATATAGTGTTTTGCACTGATTTCGAATATGCTATTTATTTTACTTTAAAAGTTAACTATAATAATGAAAATTACTAAAAATAAGTACAGTTTGTATGACATTGAGATTGGTCCGAGAAAAAATTCAATTTTTCCAGCACTAAAACAATATCTAAGAAAATAAAACAAACGCTTTTAAAGTTTGGAATCTGGTGATCTGAAATGAGATAAGATACTTCATCTGATCTGTTCGCATGAAAAATGAAATAAGTTGACCAAGATGAGTATAGATATATACTCTGAAAAAAATTCAGGCTACCACGACTCGACTTTATTTTTTCAATTTCACAAAGCATATATTCAAGTAAATACCATTTTTATACTTTCTTCTTGATGCTGATCATGAATCGAGAGTCATATTTTTATTTGGGACAAATCTAGTGTATATGTTGACTAATGACCAATCAAAATAGTTATTCAGGCCTATCAAAATGCATATATTGTGGTCCCTAATATAATACCAAGCATATCTTTTTGCAGTTTGAATAGTATATCAAAAGATGCAAAATGTCAAGGGCTTTCAGAATTTGCATTCACCATTTTGCGACACCATGATCCGACGAGGTTATAAGCAATTTACTTGCAAAAAAAGGATCATTGCCAAGCATAGACATGCCTCCTCTTCCCTTGTGGAGACACAATCGATTACTAAAATGTAATATGATGAACATTTATACAGTCCTCTTTGTAGAGAATTCTTTTAGGCATCTTCTGAGACTTTCGCTGACTGAAAGTAACGATCTGAGGCAGATAAAAAATACCAAAGAAACCATCAAAATGTGGAAAAAAACACAGTCTTCTTTAATATTTAGTCTCACCACAAAAAGTTGAAGGATTGCGATCTTCGGCGTTTTTCAAAAGTACGTCAATAAACCTTAATATTTTGGATTCATAAATTTTACGATATGATCTTTGATTGGAGCTAAAAAAGTTCAAAAGCAAATTTTGCGACAGGCGATCCTATGTAAGTTTGGTTGGTCTTCTGGCGAATCCTTTCTTAAGAGGATGAGTATTTTACTGATTATTATGATTCTATAACTTAACATACAAAATTTCTGAAGCAAACATTTGATCTTCAATTCATCACATATTCTTATATAGACAAATAGATGAGATAAATACTTTTTATTTGAACTTTTTACTAGCTATCGATGAATGCTATTTAAAAAATGTTCTTTTTGGTTAAATCTAGATAATATGTATGAGTCCCGTAGAGTCTATGCACGACGAAGTTTTGCTATTAAAATTTTTCGTCAGAAGATTTCTCTGATACAGTTCGAATTGATATTTCATTCAAATTGAGTGATTGAATACAGATATTTTCATTTTCCAATATAATATCATCAAATTGAAATATTATATTTGCCGAATTTATTGGTTGGATATATGATGAATTTGTTAAAAAATCTTCATCAATTCTACTTGTTGATACTTCTTTTTTATCTCCATTCATATCATCAGAAACAGGTTCCATATAATCCGGCGATATGGTTCTGTTCATTTTTTCTTCATTCGGCGCAAAAACTTCTTCAATTGCCATGGATTGCTCCAGTGAAATATAATCCACAACATCTTTTTCTATGTCATAATCGTTAGACATCGCTAATAAATAAAAAGATTGTTGATTAGTATCACCTATATTATCTAGTGTTACATCTAGCTTGCCGTTATTATTTATCATTAAAGTCGGCAAAATCAACGATTCCATTGGTTCAATTTCATATATATAATCTTCATGTAATTTCGATGAGACAGAAATGTTATCAGAAGAATCTTTATCATCACTTGTTGGGATTTGCATTAACGGAATTATTTCATTCATATTCAATGGTTCATTTGATTCAAATACAGTCGGATTTGTTGCCAATTCTAATATTTTACGCACTAAAAGTTCTGCAGTAAGTGTCAGGTTATCTAGAAACGTAGTTGGTAAATTACTGTCAACATTAGATATCGTATTACTATGTAACAATTCATCATGATCAATTGTTGTCATGGTTGCTGCACTCATGTCACTTCTTTCCCATGTTGAGTCATTAAATGTTGGAGAATTTTGTTCTTCCTCATCCAATGTACTATCTCTATCTGAGATGGAGACCATAAAGGATTGATCATTTAAAATAGAGCCCATGTCATGTATCACGTCGGACAATAGACGTCCAGCCATTTTTGTCGCTTCAGAATTAATTATTTCATATACATCGTCTTTTGTTGATTCATTGACATCATCGATAGTCGTTGTTAGAAGGATTGATTTGTGTGATGGTGATGCTATAGGTGTATTTCGAGGAGGAACAGAAGCTTTCAACTCGGAATCCATTAAAGAATTCGTTAATTCACTGGGAGCATCGAAATACTCTTCGTCAGAGTCCTCTTTTAACTCATCTATGGGAGTAATCATAATGATTGGAGTTAAACTTGAATGTGTCCATGCTCTGTCGTTGGACACTTGCACCGTAGGATCATTTATGTCTAAACTCTGTTCTACTTTTATTTGGTTTTCAGTAATTGTAGCAGTCATTTGTGATGCTTGAACTGGAACATCCTTCATATGAAGCTCATCGAGGTGTTTTACAACTTCTATTGGTCGCACATCTTCACGTCCTAACGTCACTTTCATTGCATGCAACTTCGTGTCAAACGACGGTGTTGCTAGAAGATTAAATGTTACTTTTTTCTTTGGTGCAACAGTCCTTGTATTAGAGTCAACGGTTGTCTGCTCTGAATTCAGCGATAACGATCGTTGCCGTTTCGGAACGTCTTCTGGCTTCACTTCCTCAAGTCCTAATGATCCTTGGATGGTATGCATCGCAGTATCAAAAGAGAGCATTGTTGGAAGATGAAGTCCTCCTTCTTTCTTCGATGTGAGTGTCCATGCTTCAGGTACCACAGTTGTTTGCTCTTCATTCAACGATAACGATCGTTGCCGTTCCGGAACGTCTTCTGGCTTCACTTCCTCAAGTCCTAATGATCCTTTGATAGCATGTATCGCAGTGTCAAACGATGGCATTGCTGGAAGATGAAACCTTCCTTCTTTCTTCGATGTGGACATCGTTGTTTCAGGTTCCACGCTTGCCTGTTCTTCGTTCAACGATAGCGATCGTCGCCGTTCCGGAACATCTTCTGGCTTCACATCCTCGAGTCCTAG